ATCCATGTATGTGTCTCCTGGCTGCCTCCAAGAACTTGACATGGGTATAACCCATAGAGCTTATTCAAATTGCATTGGTTATACATGTACCCATTGATGTGGTTGTGCACATGTAGCTCTGTAGCTCTATGCAGTTTTATCACATGTAGCCTTGTGAAACCAGCACTATAATCATGACACTGAACTGTGCCATCAGCACAAGACTGCCTCATGTTACTCATTCATAGCCTCCCTCATCCTTCTCCCCCATCTCTAGCTCCTGCCAATTGTTAATGTGTTCTCTAACTCTGTTGTTCTTTCATCAATGTTATATAAATGACGCAGTATTTATCCCTTTAAGATTGGCTTTTTTTTTTCTTAGCATGGTTTTCTTGAGATTCATCTAAGTTGTATCAATAATTTACTACTTTTTATTACTAAGTAGTATCTCATGGAAATGCTATAGTTTACAGCTCATCTACTGAAGAACATTTGGGAAGTTTCAAGTTTTTGGCTGTTTTGAAAAAAGCTTCTATGGACATTTTTGTACAACTTTATGTATAAAAACAAATCTTCAGTTCCCTGAAATAAATGCTGTGGCAGCATTTTAGACTACTGATTTAAGTTCTTTAATGGTTATAGAACTACTCTGAATGTCTATTTCTTTTTGAGTTTGCTTTGGTATATTATATTTTTCCCAGGAATAAGTCAATCCATTTTAAGTTTTCTAATTTATTAGCATAAAGTTCATAGTATTCATTTACTACCTTTTCAGTCACTGCTGTTTCTGTAGGTTTTTATATCTGCTTTTTGAAAAAAAATCCTCATATGGTTTATTCTTTTTTTCTTGGTAAATCTCATTAGAGGATGGCCTTAAAGAACTAAGTCTTGGCTTTGCTAATCCTCTAGATTTTCTGTGTGTAAGCAATATATCAAATATGCCAAATTATGGGAAATACATTTTAAAACACTCTTATTTTTGTCTTCTCCTCTTCCTTTAAACTTTGTCCAGTTAGAGTGCTTTCCTGCTCCTGGATAGAAATTCAGATAGGCCCCATGACTCAAGGTTTCTCAGTCATGGTACTGCTGACACTTTGGGTCATATAACTCTTTGATATGGATCTAATCTGTGCACTGGAGGATGTTTAGTGGCAGCCCTGTCTTCTGTCTACTATATACCAGTAGTATTCCCAGTGTGACCATAGAAATATGTCTTCAGACATCGTCAGATGTCCCTTGGGGGTCAGAATGACTCCCAGCTGAGGACCATTGCCATGACTCATGCTCAATCTTAGAAAACATAAAGTCCTAGAATAACTTTTTTTCTGATCTTTTAAGTTAAATGCTTAATTCATTTTTCAGCCTTTTTCATTTTCTAATACAAGTACTCCTTCTTGTTTGTTTTGGTTCTCAAGAGATCCAGTGCCATTTATTGCCTAATTGCAGTAATTAACAAATTCCAGATGCTTGGTTTTTTTCCTGCTCTTTACAGTTAGATTTTATTTCTTATTCTCCTCTTTGACCTTATGCTTAATCTTGTGAATGATCTCTGGTCTTCCCAATAGAGACCAAAGATTATATTCTTGGAACATCTGCTTTGGGGCAAGAAACTGTGGCATATATTGATAGAGGACTCATTTCAGACCAGGAGAAAGATGTGCCTGAGAGAAAAGAAAAGGAAGAATGGGAGGGAGCAGTGAAGCTAAGAGTGGGAGGGATGGTGCTGGAAGTCGCTGGTCTCTCAGTTCCAAGTTTCTATATTCGTTAGACCTGCACAGGGGAGTGACTGCCATTAGTTTGACACAAAAAGAAACTTGGGGGTTAATCTGGCTGGAACAGATGGCTGCTCCTTTGCTTTACTTTACTGTTTGGGCATAAAAAGTAATGCCAGAACAGATAAGATGTCCCCATTACTGGTATTCCCTGGAAGACTAATGCAGTGTGCAATCCTGGAGGAGAAAATAAAGAAAAGCCTGCTTCCAAAGATTTGGCTGTTTTGATAGGATGATCCTCACTGTTCTAAGGCTATAAGACTATGAGCCTGGATGGGTCACCAGTGAGCAAATCCTTCACCTGCCCCACCAACTTCCTTACATAAGACACATGTATCCTAAGTACCTTCCTCAGAGACATGCTGTGCTGCATCGTGTCAGATTCATTCCTTGACATTTGGCAGGAGGACAAGAAGTGAGTGGAAGGCAGAGGGAAGGACTCCAGGAGCTATTTGGGAAATCAGCTTGGGATGAAATATCAACAGGCTTATTTATTGGCTTTTACCTAGGCTTAGAAGGAAACATTTTGTGAGTTTTTTATTTTCAGGAAAGGGAAAGGCCCTTCTGAATGTGGACTAAGAAGACTAAGCGTTACTGAGACAGAGGCCGTAAGAGAGTAGCTTCTAAGGCTGTCAGTATCTCAGCTTCCTATGACATTTGTTTTTCTATTAATTCTTGGCATTTATATTGCTGTGATAGATCAATTAGCCCCTCAAAATGTCTAGTCCATTGACCTTATCATTTAACTATCCTATGATACCACTGGTTACCACAGGGAGACTGCAAAAGAACCATTTATAATTTTGAATTACTTAACTTTAGAGCTGGGGGAAACATTAAAAAGCTTAGTTTGGATAATCAGCTGCACATTAGGTGAGGGAAACTTTCCTTTTTCTCATCACTCTTGAATTTCAACAGCCATGTTGTTTAAGGAAAGGAACAGACCTCACCCCATACAGCATTGGTGTTTGGATATTTGAGATGAGTCAAGAAGCCTTGGGAGATCACAGAATCTCAAAGCTGGAAGGTGTCTTAGAGATCGTCGCATAGGTCAGGAGCCTTGGCTCCTTGGCTCCATGGACTATGGATGACTTAAGTAAAAAACATGGGAATTCTCTACAAGGCTGTCATGGGCTCCAAAGTCAATGGGGAGGCTAGAGAATGGGGTTCGGAAATGGAAAAAACTAAGGGTGTCCTGGAGAACTGGGTAGTAGGAATTACAGCAACACTTTCCTAGGGGGAATGGACTCTGCTTTAGTGAATGCTCTCAGGCTGTTCCTTCTGTCCTTCAAGTATCAGTCCTGGGAGAAAGGATCCAATTGGATAAGTTTACAAACTAGCGAGAGTCCAACCAGGAATGAGATCCTGAGTTTCCCAGCTCCCAGCTTGGTGCTTATTTCAACACTAGACAGCTTTGGAACCCAGCACCATCAGCCTTCCTTGGGCATAATCACAAGTGTTAGAAGCAAAGTTTTGGTGTCACAAAAGAAATAGCACTTGAACATAAATCTCAGCAAGGCAATTTTTACTTCAATAAAAGGGTGCATCTCACAAATGAAGCAGTGACGAGAGCACACTTGAACAGGAGAGGGGGAGGTGTTCTTAACCCTGATGCAGGTCACCCCTACTGCTGTGTCATTTCCCTATTGGCCAGGGTTGGACTGCACATTTTAAGCTAATTCCTACTGGCTGTTTTAAAGACAGCAAGGGTAAGTGCCAGAGTGGCATGGTGAGAAGTTTTGGTGGGAATGACAGTTCGGAACAGGTGACTGAAGGTGATTCAGATCAGAGCAGGTGACCAGAGTGACTCAGGACAGAGCACATGACCAGGGTTACAGATATGAACTACTGATTAGAGCTGGCCGGAAGGTCATTTACTGAAACTAGAGGCAAGGAGAGGAAGGGAACAAGGAAGTTAAACATTAAAATGGAGAACAAAGAATGCAGAGACTGAACATACTGGTATACTTATTCTTTGAAGAGAAATTTGGAACTCACTGTACTCAACACAAGTTTGACCTAAGTGTGTTGGCCAGTCCACACGTACCACCACATCTGGGGAGTTTAAAAAAGCACTTCATCTAGACTTAGTTTTTAATTGAAGGGGGAACCATTGTTGCTGTTAATAGAAACTAGTTCTTACATTTGTTTTCTCTTTTCTTTTTTTCTACAAGCAACATCACCATTTGGCTGAAGAAATCAGCTAAAGCGGGGAGTGTGAAATGAAATGGGGGACTTTAAACACCAAAAGAACTACAGGATTTCAGGGTTGCTATTCATTCATCTTGGGGAATGGGATGGATTTCAGTCTGATAGCTAACCTTCCTTGGTGATGAATGCACCTGGTCCTAATTAATAGAAGTCAGTGAAAGCACAGGTTGTCTAGGAGACTGTGCCAGAAATCAAACCTGCTGGAGCAGAGGATGCAACTCCAGACAGACAATTAAGAGCTATGGGGAAAATGAATTCACCAAGGGCCCAGAAGCACACAGCTCTGGATAGGGGGTGCTGTGGAAGCAGGAGAGTGAAGAGGATTGCATGGATTCATTTTTTCTATCCTAAGCAGCTTTCGGCCTACCCCAGGAACAGTAAACAAGTGTGTTTTTGAGAAGCGGTGGTGATTGACTCTTCTAATCCAAGCTCAGGGATGAGGAGGGGGCATTGTTTAATACAAGGAAAGCATATATTGCTCAAAACCTGTGTAAAAGCAGGTGGTTTTACGAAGGTTATTGATTTGCCGACTGAAGGGTACACAGAAGTTAAGCGATGGCTCTGTGACCAGCTCAGTCCTGTATGGGACTGGCAAGGATATACATCTGAACTGCTCTAGGGTAGCAGGCTTCAGCCTGTTTTCCAAACATCTCTCTTAGCCATCTTTCTCCCCCAAATCCTTGTGTTATGTCTAAACAAATCTCATTATGAAAAGCAAAACAAAACAAAAAACAAAAGTAAAACACCAAAAAACAGGCAAGTAGCTACTTCATGCAGAGAACTGGGACTTGAGCTACATTACAGTTTTGATTTTTAAATAGGAAGCAGTGATTGGACTGTAAGCAACACACACCCAATATCATCAGAACTCATAAGTTTAATTACAGAGAAACTGAAAGCTAATAATTTTTATGCACTGTTACATCCCTAGGAGGCCACGGAAATCTTGCCTGCCTTTTCATCTACTTGGAGCATATTTACGTGGAAAAGGAACAGAAATGTAAACATGATGGAAAGACTGAATAAGACAAGGCACAGTTTGCTACAAATATTTTACATTTATTATAAGAATACAATAAAGAGGTTCTGCAGACATATGGGTAACTGGTCTATTGGAAAAGAACAGGCAATTAAAAAATGATCTCAGTTTACAAAAATGATGAAATCATGCTTTAAAAATGTAGAAACAAATTTTAAAAATCCTACAATGTTAGCCAAAGTTCAAAGTGTATTTCTTCTGGATGTAAAAACTACAAATAAATAAGTGTTAAATACAGATCTGAGTTAAAATGATGAGATAGACACAACCATTTTACATACTTAGCTCTCATTCATTTTCAGACTTGTTTATAAAGCCAGATACACTAGCCAAAGCCTTGTTTGTGTTTTACACTGAACTTTCCAGAAGAAGCACCCTATTTCCAGTGTTTATCCACTTCACAAATATATAATCTTAAAACAACAAAAATGATTAGAGGTGCTTTAGCCTGACATTCAATGGACCCTAAATTGGCAAGCCACAGCAGTGCTTGCTCAAAATGCTGCTTGCAGTGGAACGTCTTTACCAGAAGTGCCTGAGAGTCCCACTCCTACTCCATCATCTCAAACTCATCTATTAAAGGGGAAAAAGCAACTCAGAAAAATCACATTTCCACCACCACTCACTATGAGAGCCCTAGAGCATTTCCACCACCACTCACTGTCATGGTATGGGCACCATTTGTACATTTTGTCTTGGCTTTCAATTTGCTTGGGTTCCTGAAGAAGTCAGGGCTGTTGCTGGAATCTTGACAATTTGATTTTATTCTTCTGTTTTTTTCATCTCGGCTTTCTCATATGGTTGTATGTCTATGACTTTAGAGTGTTCCAATCTTTTAGGGCACTTGCCAGACACACAAAACCATGAAAAAACACAAAATGGTAACATAAAGCCAGCATAATTTGTACCACCACCAACCCCTACTATATTCACTCAGATGCTCAATTATGCCATCCAAGTTAATACATCTAAATGCAAATTTATGTAAAATCTGTTGGTGTCTGACTAAAGAAGCTGTTTCAGTGGGAAACCTCAATGCTCTGTGAAGAGTGATGAACCCAAATGGTCCCTGAATAAGCTCCTGGCCACTGGTCCACATTGACAGTCTGATCATGTCACAGGATGGAACTAGGTAACTGACATTTTGTACAGTGAAATGCTCAGCTGGTGTTAAGAGTTTCACGTCTTTGGCCACTGTGGTCATGGCTTTGAAATAACCGAGACCTCTCTCGACCAGTTTCCTTTTCCCTTTGATTTTGATTTGATGTGATGCTTAGAATCTATATTGGGGATTGAATTTAGAATCATAGGATTATAAAATTAGATGAACCTTTTAGAATCAATCCCTTTGACACTAAAGCCAAAAATAGTGAATTCCACTTGAATATGTACATATTCTGTATGCTGCAGGTATGAGAGGTCTAGAATCTAAGGTGCAATTATGACAAGCTCACTTCTGTTGGACTGGTCTTCTGATTGTTATTGAAGGAAAGCAATTCAAACTGGCCTGGCATGGGATAGGGCTCCACAGCATCTTAAAGTCTAAATATAAGCAACATACTTTAGGTAAAGAGAAAATATTCAAAGTCCTATTAAGCATGGTTCTGGTAACCTTTCCCTCTGCATTTGCTTGCAACAATCTGGCATTTAAGAGCAGGCAGGCAAGTTTATGTCTAACAAGTCAAATTATTTGTAAAAGGGAAATTCTTACATAAGAGGGTGTGTTTCTTTTTTCTTTTGGGCTTAAAAATAAAAGCAGGAACCAGTGAGCTACAAAACACTGTCAGGTTGGTTTTTACCTAGGATCTCAGTGATGCCAGATTCCAGATTCCCTCTTGGCCTCTAAGGCTTTGAATCCAGGTTAGAGATCTGATCCCCCCCTCCCCCACTGGGGGGAATTTAGTTTTTAGTTTCATAAATATTGTCCAGGCAATTCAAAGAAGACCCCAAGGTTATACCATTTGACAAGAGCTATATGAAAAAGGAGTTTGGACTATCACAGTTTTTTGTTCCTGTTCAGGTTTTTGCTGCTCCCTTGTATGAATGGAGATTTATTTTTTATGGCCTCTTAAATTTATTGTGTGTTGCTCAGAACACTGTTTCTCACTGATATCTGTCCTGTGCTTTCCAAAGAAGGTATGATCTTCTGGGATCAGACAAACTGCTTAAGTCGTTACAGCTTTTGCAAGTGTATTCTAACCAATGACAAAGGGGTAAAGTGGTATTTCTATTGTCTACTTTGGTTACAGTTTAAATCCGGCTTTTTACTGTGTCATTTTAGAACCTGCTTTGGATAGCATTTAGAAAATGCTTATTCCGATTCTTAGCAAATAGGAAAATAGTGTGATGTTTGGCATTTCAGGAAGAATACTGCTTTGGGGAACTGTAGAGTAGAGATACCTTCATGCAGTGGTGCTCTGGGGTCTGTATATCTAGGTAGAATGGCTTGTTTTGAATTTAAGGCTTCATATTTGCTGCCCTGTTTTCTGAAGCTATGTAAAGAACCCTTTAACATTACACAATTGAAATACTTTGAGACTTTTGCTAAACAAGAAGAGTGCGAAGAAAACAATAAAAGGTACTGGGAGTCGAACAGTGGAATGGAAGAATTGAGTATGTCCAGGAATTTAAGATAAAGCAATTATTGCTAGCGTTTTCATACTTCTTTAGCAGGTAGAGGAGGGCACCTGATCAGCTTACTTGGTCAAGTCAATAGACTGCCTTCCACGATACCTCTACTCACAGAAATCTTGCTGCATTGAGAAAATTTCCCAGGAGCTTCTGCTGGTAGTGTTACTCATCTAACAAGTGCCACGTGATCATCCTGTCTCCACATCTAGGATTCCAACCAGGTCTTTGTATTCTAACCTGCATCCATCATGGGGCTTCTTGCATACTGTGTGTGTAGCTGGCTTTGCTAAGTAGGTGCCTGGGAGTTCCTTAGAAGGCAGCACCCCCACCCCTCCCAAGCACCTGAGGAGAAACTTTTTGGTTGAGGCCAATTATGACATTATTCAATATAAGCTGATGATAAAGGCTTTACTATTTTGGTAAAGTAGAATCTTGAGAAACTAAAGATGAGAAAAGGAAATACTAATCAGAAGTCAAAAACAAACACTGGAAAAACTAGCACCTGGTACTATTCCCCCACCAACACACACCTCATGTAGTAGACGTTCAAGAACTTCCTGAATGAATACAGCTAAGGGAAAACATAACATTCCACTTCCAGCATCAACACTATTACGTAGAACAGTTTGTTACTTGGTAGAAAACTTGCATCTTGCTGGCCTCAATTATAATATTTGAGAAGATAGTTTAGAAATTCAGGATTTGAATCCCTTAGAGTGAATCCCAAATATTCACTTGTTTTGAGATTCTTACAAATTTGCTGACAAGAGGGAAGCTAAATCTGTCTTTGTGTCACAAACCTGCAAGAACTTTGTTCTTTATTAAAATAAAGTGTTCACAGCAATTTTCTTGAATGCTGGCTATCCTAGACATATGTGTTCCATTACTCAGCTTGCCACTGCTTAGGGAGAGGGCTGAACCACCATTGTGTGAGCCACCTCACAGAAAAACAGAGCAAGGGTAATTCTCATTCAATAATGGTAGTTACCTCTCAAGATTATAGGGAGCAAAGGGAAAATTAAACGAATGTTCAATTCAATGTCCTTTAAAAAAGTGTCGTAGAGACTTGAGAGGCATGTACTATTTAATAACACACAGCAGGAAGCTCCTCAGATCCTTTGTGAGGGATAGTTTCCCTTATTGCCATTGCATTTATTGTTGGCTTTGAGTCATTTTACATGGTGCTTTGTTACTGCCCTTCATTTCCATTCAACCTTCCTCTCTGGATGTCTCTTTCTCTGAATTTTCGTCTTACTTTAGCTGCACCCTGAGAAGCTTCAGGGCTTCAATTACCTTCCCTCAAATGTTACTAAAGACAAGGAACATTGCTACTTGTATTCTTCCATTTCTCTGCTGAATACTATGTTTCCCCACAGTGGCGCTCATCACAATAAGCTTCCTCTGTGGGGTAACTCTAGGAGCCATTTAGTTAATATTAGTCCAAAGGTGAAAAGGGCTGATCTAAGTGTGCTCTCATTTAGGAGACTTTAGCCCAGGTTAAGCCTCACTGTAACCAAAGATTTCTAATAATCAGTGATCTTAGTTTAAGAAATATTAAATATAACCAATGCAAATGTAAAGAGGCTTTGGGTAGTCTCTGAAAAACTGGAATACATATGACCAAATCCATTAGTTGGGAAAATAATAAATATAAGCACTGCTCAGCACACAGTCATCTCTGAGCTGGGAATATCACACTGTTCCTAACACAAAGAGAGGTATTTGGTTTGCTCTCTTGCTAAGGCCCACACACTGCATGACTACTTTTGCTTTAGCTCTGCTATCTTTTTTATTTTCCATAGGACAGGATGAGGCCTTGTAGTATGTTCTCCTCAGGCTTCCTAAGACATTGTCCAAGTTTTTGTTTCACTTTAATTCACACTGTGTGGGGTGCATCACTCTGCCTTGGAATAACTGGTTCCTCCCTCTTTTGCATTTGAATTTGCTTGCCTCAGCACCTTATTAACAAATATACTGAAGTCTATGCTTACTACTTCTATGTAGTTTAAAGTGATTAAGAATCTAGCACACCAGGATTTTTATGCCACCCAAGAATGTCAGTCCTTATTAGGTGGCTGATTGCTAATGCCTACACTAAATAGTTTGAAATTTAATCTCTGAATCAGTATAAGGCAGAGGATGGTTTTTAATGGGGTACTAAATATGTCCTTAAATTATGGCTAAGGCATATAGTTTATACACCTCTGTAGGACAGCATTATTTTTTAAAGGAGAAGTTTTGGGACTCTAGGAGTGTAATAAAATCTCCTTCAGGTAGGTCATTCTTGGTACATGAAATCCTGACTTTTAAAATCAGAGTATCTTCTTTTGCAGAAATAAATATGTGGTTTTGGATTCTTCCAAAATATACAGTATTCAGACTTGATATGAAACTAATCAAAACATAGAAAAATAAATGAAATTAAAATGTTTAATGAACATTCTGATATGTATAAGCAAATCAGAGTTAGTCATAAAAGAAGTAACACTTTATTTTGGTAAACTTTCACAACTAACTTAGTATAATGGAAATGTAATATAAATTCATTTTCATATATAATTTGATCCCATTTAGTTAAGATATGAATACCTAAAGAAAACATGTCTTTCCCAATTGTCGGTCTCTGCTGCTCTTATTTTGCACCATTCTTTGTTTTGTGGGAGGCTCTGACCTCCTAAATGCAAAAGCAAGTGTTTCCATGACTCACAGCACTAACTATGGGCAGCCAATTTTGTTGATAAGAAACAGCTAAAATAATAATAAAGGGAGTACATGTAAAAAGAAGAGGGCTGAGGCAAACAACCCTTTTTCAGAAAATATCAATCTTCAAAAGATACGTGGCCGTAAGTATACTAAGTAAGGTTTTCAGGTACACTCTTACAAATCTGATGACTCACAAGAATTAATTATAAAGTGGTATGACTGAAGTAACCCTGAACAACAGTGACTTATGATTCAGATATCTGTATTGTTACATCATAATTTATTTGGATTGTTGCATTTTAATTTTTATCCCATTACAAGGTCCTCAGTGGGTGGCATATGTTGAAACTAAAACACTGTCCTCTTGACATAATCTAACACTAGTATTGTGAGGCCCTAATTATTTTGTGGTACTAACCAAACTTCATAAAAATTATTTGGGAAAACTGAAATGAATATAATATAGATAGAAAAACCAAATTATGGTTTAAAGGAAATTAAAACGATTTCAATGACAAAGCATTTTGTTTTCTTTTCAAAATGATCTTAAAGTGAAAAACAACTGTGAAATGTGCACTGAAAATACCCAACAAATTAGGCTCTTGGTCTACACTTATCTGCTAATAAGATGTTTCAGTAATATTGTATGTGAATTATGGAAGGAGAATTTTATTGCCTACATTAAATTTGGGAGATAAAAGAGAAACAATTACAGGAGACCTTTCACTGGAGACCTCGTGGCAGGATGGGCTGAAATAAAGCTTCAGTTTCTGAAAGTTATACAAAGCCTGTCAATTTTATTATCATTTTCCTGGAAGAGAAAGAGTATGTTGGCTTTGGGAAGTAACCTTAGATTACATGGAATACAAAATTCATTTAGGTTTCACATGTGGGTAATAAATGTTAATCGTTGAAAAATTTCTTTCCTTGTAAAATGATGGACAACCTAAATTTTTGCATAAAGGCCTTAGTGATTCAAGGTAGAAAGACACCAGTGAGAGAGAGACTACTGTGTTTACTTCCCCCCATTTTAATAAACTGAAGGACTTATGAGAGGAACTATGCAGTAGTTATGTGTGTGTGTGTGTGTGTGTGTGTGTGTGTGTGTGAATAGATTATAGAAGATATATATATATCCTGTATAATATATATATCCTGTATAATCCATTAACACAAAGATTTGTGACTGGACTAATTACATCCAGACCTGAAGAAATTTTGGTTACAATTCTTTTCTTACTGAACAAATCATAGGATTGTGTACATTTCTGAAGCTTCCTTTCCCTACATCAACTTGTACATTCAGAACAGTATATGTGTGTTTCTTGGGCATGGATTAGCTTCCTACAGTACATAATTCCATTAATTATCAGTGACAGAAGGGATGAATAAATTATGCTTCAAGCACAACAAAATTAACAGTGAAAAACTGTTTGTATAAGTTCTTCTTAATGTATGTGCCTATATTAAATTTAATATTCTATATGACTGAGAGGATCCTGAGAGACTCTACGGAGTTACTAATCTTGAACTATGCCACTGCCTGCTTTTGGACAAAGAATAAAATGGAATTTAAATGCTACATGTCATGATGTGTTGAAAAGCTTTTTAAATTTAAGCACAGGGTAATGATGTGAATTGCAAATTCTAACAGACTGGATGAGTGAAATATCAATGCTGTGTTCATTCTTTATGCCAGAATGCAAGGATTAAGCTTTAGGTCTTGTTTATAAAACTGAAGCCAAAACCATCCTTCTCTCTCCTTGCTGAGAGCTTAGCATGAAGCCATTATGTGATGGCAGGCTGTTTTCTTTAAACAGACAAAGAATATTACAAACAGAGATTCACTTAGAAATACTGAAAAAAAACGGTAGGAATATCCCATTTTATTCTTACTTTTGAAGGCTGGCAAGTGCCTGAATATACCATAGCACTTAATATGTAAGTTTGTGCTTTGATTTACCATAGTATGCACCATCAAAAGAAAGTTCCCTTTAAGTCTGAATGTACTAATCGTTAAATATGTATGAAATCTGCAAGAAGATTGAAATGATTGATAGATACAAGTTACTTTTCTCTTCAGTATTGTCTTTGATACTCTTTAAAGTATAGTGTGAGTTCTGTGCAATGGTATAGGCAGCAAACAGCTAAGAAAGGGCAGGAGGAATTTTCTATCCCTAAGCTCTTCCAATGAATGCAGACCAAATAATCACTAAGGTGATGTTTATCTGGTCACAGGCCTGAGAACTTATAAAAGGCTTCCAGAACATATTTAGCCCTGAGCGTGACCATCTTCTATATACGTATTTATCCTGAGAGGCAACTATATACAGATCGTGGGGTAAGTTCCCTAGATAACAGTTAAGATGCAGAATCCTACTTTTAACTGAGTTACATTTTATCCACATGAGACATCTTCAGCACTATGCTCGCATACCTGTCAGCTAAGATGAATGTCCAGGGGGCAGTATACGGGAATTAGAAATGGGAGGGCTGACCCTATGTCATCATCTTCCTCATTAATATTCACCTGACTTCTAGACTGTCTACTTCATTCACATCTGTCTTGTACCTTGGTAGTGTGTGTGCGCATACACACATGAATGTGTTGATGAACTAGAATCATGAAATTCTGATAGCTCTAAAAACTGGTACAAATGAAGGAAATTGCATTTTGGAATGGCCCCTCTAAGGTGAAGATGTTTAACCAAAAGTATGCTCTTATTTCTGTGGATCTGTGCTTTACAGTTTCCTCTAAAATTTTTGTTACCATTAGGAGTCTATGAATTCCTAAAACACTTCTTAGGACCTTTTTGGTAAATTTAGACTATTAAATAGAATGTGTTTTTAAAAGCATAACTCTGATAAGGTTTATATTTTCCCTTTCTTCTTTACTTTGTCATTCTAGCTGCCCTTTTCTCCAGCCCACCCTCCTGTATAAACTTGTTTCTTGCTTCACAGCTCTCTATAACATCCTTGAAAAGTAACTGCCTCAACTCTAATAGGGTGCTCTTTGATAACGTTTCTTGCATTGCGGGTTTTTTTTTTTTTTTTTTTTTTTTTCAGTAGACATGGGGTTTCACCATGTTGCCAGGCTGGTCTCAAACCCACCTCTGCCTCCCAAAGTGCTGGGATTACAGGCATTGAGCCTCCATGCCCAGCCTATGTGTATTGTTTTCTGATACCCAGACAAAGGTGGAGGAAAATGACAACCTTACAAAAAATGTAGATACATGATGTTTCTTACATTGGGCTTATACCTAACAAGAAAGAAAAGAAAAACCCCAGGAGGTCCAAATAATTCCCAATATAAAATTCTGTTTACAAATATAATCTTGCCTTGGCAGAGGAGAAAGCCAACTGTGGTTGGAACATGTCCTGCAAACATGGCATTACCAATGCTGTTTATAGCACCAACTGAGTAGGGTCTGTGGAATAGGGTGGCAGCCCACAAACTGGGCCTGAAGTAGAAATAAGGTGTGAAAAATATCTTTTATCCTTCACACACTTAGAAGCCTGTGCTTTTCTATTATTTGCAATGGCCTGAAATGGTAGGATTGCTATGGTTAGCTAAGAAAGCCCTTGGTAGGACTGCCTATTTCTTTAATAAATTTGCCTTTGATTTTTACAAGTGAAACATACTTTTTAAAAACCCAGTTAATAAAAAAAAATAATGGTAGAAGACCATTGAAGGTAAATTCATTGTTAATGAGAACAATAATGTTACTCTGCTGGAGGACAGAGTTCAGAAGGCTGAGTTTGGCGCCATCCTGTCACTATGTGATTTTTCTTTCGATGATAACGAGCTCTTTCTGAAGTTCACTGAACTTAGGGCGGTTTTCAGGTTTATAATCCCAACACTTCATCATGATTTTAGAAATATCCTCTGGACAGTGCTGGGGAGCTGACATCCGGTATCCTAAAGACCCAAGAGAAGGAGAACAGTGTTCACACGGGGCATTATACAGTTATGAACGTTTAGCACCTCACGTTGTAGGTATACAGAAACAAAAACATCCATTTCAGGGCATGCTGATTATTTTCTACAGGTTATACAGAATTCAATATTACAGAGTCAGACTTCTAGTTCAAAGAACACATTTTTTAATTTGTTCATTTCTCAGAAAGTCTCATGTAAGATAGATACATCACATATAAGTGCATATTTTAGTTATGTGTGTTATGTATGTCCATCTAATTCACTTTCAGAATTAGATGCTGTGGGCAGTTTAAAAAATCATTTCTACAACCTATGTTTTTCAAGATCAAGGGAAGATGAGGATTTTTAAATGTGAATTCAATAGGGAAATAAAAATGAATGAGAGTCATATTCTTTTACAGTCTGTTGGTTGGCAGTGTTTCAGCAGTGAATTTGGTAGTGTGTGTGGGCCTGTGTGTGAGAGGTAGAAAGGAAGTTAAAAAGGCATCTTCCTACACCCAGTTCTACAACCCTGCCCCTCAATGGGGGCCTGACATTAGGACATTGCAATTTATCAAGAGCATTGTTTTTGTCGAGACTGTACACTACACAAGTGCATGCAAGCATTTCACCATTACTTAGTTATTCCCATAACCCCAAAGGGTTTCTTCGGCAGTGCTATGATGTTGTCACATTCTCAAAAATGTACTGAAGACTAACTATGTTTCAATTTGGAATATTATTTAAAAGGAGGCTTATCTGGCATAGAATACAAGAATTTGAGAAATGCCACTCTAATGATTTCTCTTAATGACAGTGAAGAGCACAATCCTGCAGATATCAGGCCAGGCAGAGAAAGGTAGAAGAAAAGCCTATATACCTCTCTCTCACACTGGAATCCTTTAGAGTGTTTGGCTGTGTTATGAGACCTTAACAACCCGCTCCCCAAGTAGACACACTATCAGCACTGCCTACCCTAAGGCTGGATATGAACACTAACAATGCATATATTTGGCTCACCTCTTTCTACTTGCTCTCTTGCTTGCTGATTTGTCAGTCCAGGGTACGGACAAACCCCTAAGCTGAAGGTCTCCCAGAGAAGGATGCCAAAGCTCCACACGTCACTCTCTGAACTGTATCTCCCTGGAAGGGGAACAACAACCATAACCAGGTGAGACCCAGTAGACAAGCAGGTGACCATTTCTGGTTATGTATGTCCATGTCAGTCACATATTACCAGCAGTCATGCACCACAGAGTGATGTTTGGTCAGTGATGAAGCACATATATGACAGCAGTCCCATTATAATGGAACTGAAAAGTTCCTATTGCCTAGTGATGTGGTAGCCATGGTAACATCAGAGTGTAGCATATTTGCTTTTCTATGTCTAGACACAAAAAAACTTACTATTGTCTTACAGTGACCTGCAGTATTCAATACAGTAACATGCTATATAGGTTTGTAGCCTAGATGTGTAGTAGGCTATCCTACTAAGTACATCCTATGATCATACAATGATGAAATTGCCTAATGACACATTTCGCAGAGTATATCCCTGTCATTAAGTGATACATGACTAAATTTAAACTTGCCAAAGGAGTTCGATATGCAGTCTTCCTATTCTCTTGACTGGTTTTATATTCCAGGTCTAGTAATATTATCAATTAAATAAGTATTCTTCAGGCTCCTGGTTTAATCAAACCAGTTTCCAAATCACTCTCCTTTCCCCCAAGAATAAATATGCAGCCAGCGTGCAAGCTTACTTTCCCTGTGGTATCTGAATGAGATGGATGGTTTATATAAAAAAGATATACGTTTGTACATATCTATCTTAGGAGATTAACCAAGTTGGATTCCTGCAATTTTGTCTTAGGCCTGTATCGTTTTCTTTCCACTAAAATTACAAACAAACTTACAGCAATTAGGAAAGTTTCTTAACTTCAGTTTTTCACTCATCACTGTTTACAGATGTTCTTACATGCTTAAAGGTCTCATTTTCTCCACTGAGTTTCATATATGAAAAATATTTTTGTGTGTTTTAAACAGAGTGGAAATTAACATAGTTGGCTAATAAGAATGTCTTTAAATTAAGGGTGCCTTGTTTTGTTGAATTATCTGGGTACACCTGTTTTACTGAGTTACATGAACTAAGCTTTTAGAATTTTTTGGTAGTCTCTTAGAGAAGCACGGAGATACAAACCAACACAGGGTATCTTGAGATGGTCGTGGAATCAAGTAGGGGAAGGAGAACAATCTTTTCCAATCTCTAGCCTCTCTAAGAAGCTAAGAGTTTCCAAGATGTTCCCAACGTATTTGTATTTTTTACTTATTTTTACATACACTACCATAACTAAACTCCATTTACAGTGGTGTTAAAGATTTCTTAAATCATTTCATTTTCTATCCCTCAAACTCTGCCACTGCAGGATTTAGAAATGCAACTCCTCCAAAACGGTCGTTACTTTAAAATAGGATGGTCTTTCTTAAAAAAAAAAAGAAAAATAAGTACCCAATGAAAACAAGAGTATGCCTGCTATGATAACTGCTTTGACAGCAGAGTGGGGTTGTACTAACTGATTATCAGCTCTAGCTCTGTGAATTAGCTTCCTTCTTAGTAGAAAGTAATTATGGACACTCACTGTGTTGTTTGGCAGGAAGATTAATTTTCTTGTCTGCACATCAACTCGTTTCATGCTTGGCATTCCATAATTTAATACTTTTCATCAAAGTCATTCTACAGCTATAAGTTAAGACTAATTCTTTAAGAAAATAAGTTATAGAGAGTCAAATAGCTTATTTTGTAGGATAATATTTGGGCAGAGATCAATAGAGGCATATTACATATAAACCAGGATCACACTCCAGAAGTGAAAGCTTATAACCTAGCTCCTAAACCTGGACCTTTGAACCTGGTTTTCCTGGATAATTTTACCAGACCAAGAGTAACTTACAATTGTACAGCATTTTGCTACTTTTCTATGTCTCATTTGATTTTCACAATACTCTGTAGGGAAAAGGTCCTATGGTTCTCATCTTAAAAATTAGGAAATTATGTGGAGTGGTAGATGGCTTGCCAAGGTCATGTAGCTAATGGCACAACTGGTTGGGAAACCTGATCACTAAAAATTCTGCCTCCCTCCCATTTCACAGCACTTTTACATCATGCTAATGTAACTAATTAGGGGATACATCTGCCCAAAATACCCAGGTGACAAAAGGAAAACTTCTGTTTGATAATTGATAGATGATTTCTTAGTTGCAGATCGGTCTTCCATTTTCCCTTTATAAAAACAGTACCTTTGGTGACAGCTGGGACTATGGATGGTAGCAATATATGCCAAATAGGCTTTGAGTATTCTACCATTTTGTATTTTTTTAAAAAGTATGTGAGAGAGACATATACAAAAAGATTTCTCAGCCATTGATGAGAAAACTATGAGACTGTAACAACAATATTTTCATCTAGGAAGAATGATCTGGCTAGTGATAGGGCTGGGTAATGATAGGTCCTTTAGTATTGCTTGATTTTTTTTTAAAGCCAAATACACAAAAACAATGACACTAATGATAAAGTAGTGACAACAGGTTTAATTTTATGCCACACTCCCTGCTTTTCTTGAGACAGGTTCTTGCTCTGTTGCCCAGGCTGGCGTGTAGTGGCATGATCATGGCTCTATGGCCCTAAGCCAGTTTCAGAGAGACTCCTTGGACTGGAGGTTTCTTTCACCTACCCTGACCCCATACTACATGGGAGATTTGAGAGTGTTTCACCTATTCTGAGGCAAGAGTGAAGAAAGAAGTATAGGATTGGGTACAGTGGCTCATGCCTATGATCCCAGCACTTGGGGAGACCAAAGCAGGTGCATCATTTGAGGTTAGCAGTTTGAGACCAGCCTGACCAACATGGTGAAACCCCACCTCTACCAAAAAATACAAATATTAGCCAGGCATCGTGGCGCACACCTGTAATCCCAGCTACAGAAGGCTAAGGCATGAGAATTGCTTGAACCCAGGCGGTGGAAGCTGCTGTGAGCTGAGATCACACCACTATACTCCAGCCTGGGCAACAGAGAGAGACCCTGTCTCAAAAAAAAAAAAAAAAAGTGTACCCACAGTAATAAGGACTTTCAAAAGATATTTATATTTTCTCTTATTAAAAAAAGCTAAGATTGGCTAGGTGCGGTGGCTTATACTTGTAATCCCAGCTCTCTGGGAGGTTGAGGTGGGTGGATCATCTGAGGTCAGGAGTTCAAGGCCAGCCTGACCAATATGGTGAAACCCCATCTCTACTAAAAATACAAAAATTAGCTGGGCGTGGTGGCATGCACCTGTAGTGCCAGCTACTGGGGAGGCTGAGACAGGAGAATTGCTTGTAACTGGAAAGCAGAGGTTGCAGTGAGCCTAGATCATACTGCTGCACTCCAGCCTGGGCAACGGAGTGAAACTCTGTCTCAAAGAAAAAAAAAACATGCTAGGATTTAGAGCCAATCTTCAGTAATTTTGGTCTGTGGGAACTAAACTTCTCTGGGTTGCTATGAGAAGGCTTGTAGAGTCTTTCAGGAACTGTCTCATCGGATTGGGTAATAAATACTACAAACATGTCCTCTATCAAAATCTCTCCTTCCTTGTCATATTAAGTTGTTCTGTGCTTTACAAAATTTACTAAAGGCTGCTAAAAAGTCCCTCACTGTTGATCAAAGAAAGATCTTTAGAGATCTTTGATCTCTGAAGTGGCTCATGCCTGCAGTCCCAGCTGCTCCAGAGGCTGATGTGGGAGGATTGTTTGAGCCCTGGAGGTTGAGGCTGCAGTGAGTCATAATCATGCCACTGCACTCCAGCCTGGGTGACAAAGTAAGATCCTGTTTCAATTAAAAAATACCTTTAGATTTGTCCTTATTACTTAAAATGCTTTAGGTTTGGCTGTTAATGTATCCAGAGTTAGAACTTTAATTTGTAAATACAGCACTTTAGTGAGCTTGAAATTAAAAAAATACAATGTGATCAAGAGGCAGAATTTAACTTGGCAAAAGTGTTTTTAACAGTAAGAGGAGTTACTGTTAAAACAGTAAGACTTACTCTATATAACATAGCGAATCTGGCAAACAGAATTAAGAGCAAAATCTAGAGAACTGGATTTTACTGGTAAGACTTTAAGGACTCCCAAGCCTAGTTACAGCTCCCTTAGTGCTTAAAAATGTTTTGTCATCTAACAAAAACCTTTGTGTAAATATGAGTATTATAATCTATCTTTTATATAGATATAAAGATATCTTTTATATAGATATACTACCTTATATATAAGGTATATATATAAGTATATATAGTATATCTATACTAAGATATACTACCTTAGTAATATAATCCGACCCTAGAGTTAATAGCAGTCACCCCAGAGAGGAATCACTATGGAAAATAGTAGGCCTGCTATTTTCTCTGGATTCTAAGGCATAGTGGAACTGACTTGCAATCACTAAAAACTCATAAGAACCTTACTTGTTGACACACTGGAAAACAAACTAAGGGTGAGGGTTAGTATCTACGGTAGCTGTGTCAGCCCCAGCCAGCTTCTAAACCAATGACATTAGTGGTTCCTCAAAAAGTTAAAATTACCATATGACTTCTAGTATAAACCCAGAATAATTGAAAACTGCCCAAACATACAAAAATGGATAAATAGTTGTATATTCATACAATGGAATATTATTCAGTCCTAAAAAGGAATGAAGTACTGATACATGATACAACATAGATGAACCAAAAATCTTAAGCTAAGTGAAAGAAGCCAGACATAAGATATCACATACCATATAATTCCATTTAAATGAAATACCCAGAATAGGTAAATCCATAGAAATAAAAGGCAGATTGGTGGCTACTAGGGGGTAAGGGGATGGAAGAATTGGGGGAAAATGCTGATTGGAGAAAGGGTTTTATTTTGGAATGAGGAAAATGTTTTGAAATTAGATAGAGGTACTAATTATACAACATTGTCAATTGTACTGAATGCCAATGATTATTCACTGTAAAATTAATTTTATGGTATGTGAATTTCACCTCAATTTTTTAAAAAAGCTTTCTCCAATTTAGGAATTAAGGCATTTATAAATGCTTTACAAATTAGTTCCCATAATGAGGTAATTTTTCATTTTAAATCAACAAAGAATCATTTTATATTTTGATTCAAAACATACCATACCCCATTCACCAATCCATGGCTCATATGCTGCTTCCCTTAATGAAAATATAATTTCTAATTTCACTTGAAGCACACTCTTTTTTGTCTTAAATTCTTGAGTTGTCATCCATGTTCTTATGGCCCATTTCATCCCAACCACAGATAGTACAAGTTATATTTATTTCCAATTACAATTACACATAAAAATTCAAGTGAAAAAAATCCCTGCTGCTTTAATATGTAATTCCCATCTCCTTTTTGCTCAAGATTTATATCAGTTCCAGAGACTGAGATGCTAAGAAACCATATCAATTTCAGAGTGAAAAAGTAAAGAAGTGATTGACTTAATATTTTAGGAACCTAGCATTAGATGAGGTTATTGGACCAATTACAAGACAGTCAAAACAAATGGTCCAGAGCCACAGCAACACTTACTCTGTGTATAATCTATTAAAAAGTCATTTTTTGGTATAAAAAATCTTCTCAGATGGATAGTCATATTTAAAAGTACTTATATCTACCTTTTTTAATATAGCAATGTTACATATGGAAATCTGATCAATAATTTTAACAAATTAAAAGGTATAAAACTTACTCATTTGTGTTGATCCTCAAATCATTCTAATTTGTGTTCTGTGCTACCCCTTGTAATTATTGCGTGTGAATGTTTTGTGCTGAGGCAGTTCATTTTCACCACCAAGAAAAAATGTGGTCTATTCTTACCATAATTAAGAGCTTCTGGTGCTGTCCATTTAATGGGAATCTGCTTTAAGCCAGAAGATGAATACACTCCACCATCCTCTTGACGAGACATTCCAAAGTCACCTATTTTCAGAACATTATTTACACCCACCAGGCAGTTTCTTGCAGCAAGATCCCTAGGTTACAGTAAGACATAGAAAACGCCTATTAAAACAAATCGAAAGCCACTTTCACATTTATGATTTCCACACTTTGCATTTTTACATTTGCAATGTATTTATACTGAGGTTAAGAATGCTTGTGATTATTTACCAGTCCTCCTCATCTTTTCTGTCATAGGTAAAAAAACATGCATGAGAACATATGCATATGGAATAGGCCACATGCTAGTTTCCAGGTACCACATATATTTTCATTTAAATAGAAAAACACCGATTCTAGCTTTAAAAGAGAAAGTCACAGAGGAGAGGCTAAACAAACTTGGCATTATTTCTCCTTTGGCTTTCCTAGAACAGCACTTTCAACAGAACTTTCTGTGATGACGGAATGTTCTTATCTGTGCTGTCCAATAAAGTAGCCATCTGCCACATGTGCTGCCGGACACCTGCAACGTGGCTAGTGCGACCAAGAAACTGAATTTTTCAATTTATATACTTTTAGTTAATTACATTTAAATAGCTGTATGTGCCTAGTAGATGATACTGAGTAGACTCTGATACACTATTGTCAGGGCTTCCCAAAGGTTGGAAGGTGGCTGAGGTACTAGAGAGGTTGGCAACTCTCTTTCTACTGCATCTGGCCCTGTCTCTCTCTCTACCACCTCATCTTTCCAGTCATCCTGTCATTTACTGTATCCCAGCCATAGTGGGCTTCTTTTTGTCCTCAAATGCAGTATGAGTGAGTTCCCTAAATGAGGCAAGCTTATTTGCACTGTATACCCTTTGCACTTAGCTGTTCCCCTTCGCCTCCAGTATTCTTCCAGTTTTGCATAGCTGGCTTCTCTTCATTCATTCATAGCCCCAATAGTCTCTTCAGAGAGTTCTTTCCTGACCACTCTTATCTGCCAAAGTCTAATTCTGGTGGGGAGGACATTCAACAACCAAATTCATATACAGCGTTCCCTTGGGATCCATGATTGATTCCATGATCCCCCTCAGACACCAAAATCCAAGGATGCTCAAAACCCTGATATAAAACGGTGTAGATTTGCATAAGCACAGACTCCTGTATACTTTAAATCATCTCTAGATTACTTATAATGCATAATACATTGTAAATGATATGTAACAGTTGTTATATTTAGGGAATAATCACAAGGAAGTCTGTATATGTTCAGTACAGACACAACTATCCATTAAGAAAAAAACTCTATCTCTGGATGGTTGAATCCACAGATGAGGAACTTACAGATACAGAGAGTCATATATAAAAATAGTAACATATAACCAAGCAGAGCTTGTTCTAGTAACACAAAGTTGATTTAACACTTTAAAAGTAATTGATGTTATTTACTAGAGTAACAGAATGTAGGAAGAAAAAACCTGATAATTCCAATTGATACAGAAAAAGCATCAGACAAAAATTCAAACCCATTCATGATAAAATTCAACACCCTACAAATATTATGGAATTTATTTAACCTGACAAAGGGCTTATACAAAAAATTAAATCCCTAACATCACACACCTAATGGTGAAAGGCTAAATTGTTTTCTATTGAGGTCAAAGCAAGGATACCTGTTTTCACCTCTTCTAGTCAGAGGGATCTCTTAGAAATAGTTTTACTTCTTTTCTGATATCTGCCTCTCAATTTTTGTTTTCTCTTATGTCTTTTTCAATTTGAAAATCTGATGTTTTTTACATAGAAAATCTTTGGGAATGTTTATAAGTTTATAACAAGAACTAGAATTAATGAATTTTACATGGCTGCAAAAATACACAAAAAAGTATTCTTGTAAGCAGCAAAAAATTGGAAAACAAATTCCATTTACAGTAGTACCATAAAGTAAATACCTGAAAATAAATCTAACAAAAGATAAGTTCTTTACACTTCAAACTACAAAACTTGACTGGAAAAAATCATAAATATGTGAATAAGTGGAGAGATATTTCACATTCATGAAGTAGGAAACTCCTCAGTATCATTAATATCACAATTCTTCCCAAATTAATATATAGATTTAATGCACTTACAACCAAAAATTCTGGCAGATGTATTGTAGAACTAGATAAATGGATTCTAAAATGTATATGGAAATGAAGCATTCTATAATAATCAAAGTAATTTTAAGAAAGGTGTACAAAGTTGTAGGACTTATCTAACCTGATTTCAAATCCTAATAGAAAGCCGCAGTTCTCAATATGGTTTAGTATTGGTAAAAATGTTTATAGCTCAATTGAATAGAACAGAGAGAGGATCTAGAAATAGACCACATATGTATAGTCAACTAATTTTTTTTTGGTAGAGGTATAATGGCACTGTAGCACACATCTCCTAACTCTAGTCAGTGGACCAAATGCCATCACCCTTGGTCAGAATGAATTTTTAGTCACGGCAACACTTTAGTCATGTATAGGATTTCATTGCTAGTACTTTCTTCAGAGTAATATCTATGTTTTATAGCTACATACACTTCTGTTGTCATAACTATCTTCATTGCACCACCAGTTAACAGATTTGTCCTCTGAAATGAGGATTGTATTTCTATGAGAGGCCAATCTAAAACTAATTTAGAGATATCTCAATTCAGTGTAAATAAAATTTCAATAACATTTACAGAAAATGCTACTTCCTTCAGGCTGCACTGAGTTCAAGTGAGTGGAAATGGGATCTTTTAGAGATACTCTATGAATTACATAAAACCTTAGGCCTTTAGGCCATAAACATGCACTGCACAGTCAGTTTGCCAAATATTTTAGTAAGTATTAAAGGAGATAGAAGAAAGGATATGGTGTCTAAGAAACTGACAATCTAATTTGGAAGATAAATCAATCATATACCTTTCTTCTTCCTTTTCTCTCTATTCTCTTCTTTATTAAGCCTACTATTGCCCAGTCCTGAGTCACACTTTGGGAGACACAATAGTGCTCCTGGCCTCTTCATAGATGAAACTGCTAGAGAATAATCAGCATGAGCCTCTGTGTTACAGACTGCAAATCCTATAGGAATTCGGAGGTAAGAAATCTCAAAATAGGCTGGCGTTGTCATTCACTTGATGTATCAGAGATAGCTATATCTCACCATAGGCAGAGGGATATAACAGCAAGTGCTACTCACTGCCAAAAGGAGATGAAAATGTTCCACTTATGTCGGCCAAAAAATCTTATTTGAAGATTCAAACTTCTGAGTGTATACCAGAGGTACAAGTCATACATAACATGAGACACGCTAATTAGGGATCAAATAAGAACAGAGCAATTAAGGAACTCCAATGCCAGTGGGCAATGGAGATGAGTAAATTTTCTTCACTGTCCAGAAAGCACAATGGTGCACGTCTTGTTCTGTGGCAATGCTCACTCTTACAGCAAATCCTACAGTAAGCCAGGAAAAATAATGAGGCTGAGCCAGAGTTCTCCTTTGCAATGCTGTTTTGCCCCAAACATTATTTACTACTTGCTGCTATGATTCTACAAAGTCAGGATTTATTCCTCATGTAAAAACGAGTTAGAAAAATATATATTTTTTATATGAAAACTATTCCCAGTGGGTGTGGATAATATTGAGCCACAAATAACTACTAGCACTTACGAGAAGAAAACCTCTTTAAGGCCCTGGAGTTTCCTCATTCTGGTTGAAACATGGCATAAAACCAACAACCCAGTGAGTGGGGAATAAATGAAACATACTTCATTTGCTCTACTATATTCTGATAAAAAGGGGAGAATTATCTTATACAAAATTTAGCTACAAGCATATTTGGGGGGATATTACCATAGTTAAAAGCACCAACTTTTAAAAATATATGACTCACATAATTTTCCAATAATTGTTATATCACTTATACACAGATATATGTTCATTAAAAATTTAAACACAAAAGAATGTGACCAAATGTTTCCCATCATCAGACCTTGCCAATTTCATGATTCATTGTTATAAATTGAGATAGCCTTATTATATACACTTGTATCACATGTATATATTTATTCACACACCTGACTTTAATTGTACATTGCTTGTTCTGACATTTATTCTATTTTATATCTTTCGGAAAATGTTAATTTCCTCCATACAGACCAAGGGTATTGCTTGGTAGATTTATTTACTTTTTTATTGTTGACAATTATTGAGTATATATTTCCATTGCTTCTTTCTCCTATTCTTAGTTGACATATAATAATTGAACATATTTATGAGACAGTGATATTTTGATATGTATATACAATATGTAACAATCGAATCAGGGTAATTAGCATATCCATCATTTCAAATGTTTATTGTTTGTGTCATGAACACTGAAATCTTCCCTTCTAGCTTCTGGAATAAATTAACCATATTCATTCTACGCTGCTGCAGAACACCAGAACTCTTTTCATCCAGCTATAATTTTGGTATCTACTAACCAAATATTTTTTCATCCTCCCCACCTCTCTATCCTTCCCAGTCTCTTTTTTTTTTTTTCACTTTTTTTTAGAGTTTATTAGCTTTTCTTTTAATGTAAACATAAGAAATAAAAGCCACATAAACTGTAGCACTGTTTTCTTTTTTTTTTTTTAATTTTTTATTGGATTATAGGTTTTGGGGTACATGAGCAGAGCATGCAAGACAGTTGCGTAGGTACACACATGGCAGTGTGCTTTGCTTTTCTTCTCCCCTTCACCCACATTTGGCATTTCTCCCCAGGCTATCCCTCCCCACCTCCCCCTCCCACTGGCCCTCCCCTTTTCCCCCCAATAGACCCCAGTGTTTAGTACTCCCCTTTCTGTGTCCATGTGTTCTCATTTTTCATCACCCACCTATGAGTGAGAATATGTGGTGTTTCATTTTCTGTTCTTGTGTCAGTTTGCTGAGGATGACGTTCTCCAGATTCATCCATGTCCCTACAAACGACACGAACTCATCATTTCTTATTGCTGCATAATATTCCATGGTGTATATGTGCCACATTTTTCCAATCCAGTCTATTATCAATGGGCATTTGGGTTGATTCCAGGTCTTTGCTATTGTAAACAGTGCTGCAATGAACATTCGTGTACATGTGTCCTTATAGTAGAATGATTTATAGTCTTTTGGATATATACCCAGTAATGGGATTGCTGGGTCAAATGGAATTTCTATTTCTAAGGCCTTGAGGAATCGCCACACTGTCTTCCCCAATGGTTGAACTAATTTACACTCCCACCAACAGTGTAAAAGTGTTCCTTTTTCTCCACATCCTCTCCAGCATCTGTTGTCTCCAGATTTTTTAATGATCGCCATTCTAACTGGCGTGAGATGGTATCTCAATGTGGTTTTGATTTGCATCTCTCTGATGACCAGTGACGATGAGCATTTTTTCATATGATTGTTGGCCTCATATATGTCTTCTTTCGTAAAGTGTCTGTTCATATCCTTTGCCCACTTTTGAATGGGCTTGTTTGTTTTTTTCCTGTAAATCTGTTTGAGTTCTTTGTAAATTCTGGATATCAGCCCTTTGTCAGATGGGTAGACTGCAAAAATTTTTTCCCATTCTGTTGGTTGCCGATCCACTCTAGTGACTGTTTCTTTTGCCGTGCAGAAGCTGTGGAGTTTGATTAGGTCCCATTTGTCTATTTTGGCTTTTGTTGCCAATGCTTTTGGTGTTTTGTTCATGAAGTCCTTGCCTACTCCTATGTCCTGGATAGTTTTGCCTAGATTTCCTTCTAGGGTTTTTATGGTGCCAGGTCTTATGTTTAAGTCTTTAATCCATCTGGAGTTAATTTTAGTGTAAGGTGTCAGGAAGGGGTCCAGTTTCTGCTTTCTGCACATGGCTAGCCAGTTTTCCCAACACCATTTGTTAAACATGGAATCCTTGCCCCATTGCTTGTTTTTGTCAGGTTTATCAAAGATTGTATAGTTGTATGTATGTTGTGTTGCCTCCGGTGCCTCTGTTTTGTTCCATTGGTCTATATCTCTGTTTTGGTACCAGTACCATGCTGTTTTGATTACTGTAGCCTTGTAGTATAGTTTGAAATCCGGTAGTGTGATGCCCCCCGCTGTGTTCTTTTTGCTTAGAATTGACTTGGCTATGCGGGCTCTCTTTTGGTTCCATATGAAGTTCATGGTGGTTTTTTCCAGTTCTGTGAAGAAAGTCAATGGTAGCTTGATGGGGATAGCGTTGATTCTGTAAATTACTTTGGGCAGTATAGCCATTTTCACGATATTAATTCTTCCTAACCATGAACATGGAATGTTTCTCCATCTGTTTGTGTCCTCTCTGATTTCGTTGAGCAGTGGTTTGTAGTTCTCCTTGAAGAGGTCCCTTACGTTCCTTGTGAGTTGTATTCCAAGGTATTTTATTCTTTTTGTAGCAATTGCGAATGGCAGTTCGCTCTTGATTTGGCTTTCTTTAAATCTGTTATTGGTGTAGACGAATGCTTGTGATTTTTGCACATTGATTTTATATCCTGAGACTTTGCTGAAGTTGTTTATTAGTTTCAGGAGTTTTTGGGCTGAGGCAATGGGGTCTTCTAGGTATACTATCATGTCGTCTGCAAATAGAGACAATTTGGCTTCCACCTTTCCTATTTGAATACCCTTTATTTCTCTTTCTTGCTTGATTGCTCTGAATTCTGAGTTCTAACTTGATTGCACTATGGTCTGAGAGGCTGTTTGTTATGATTTCAGTTGTTTTGCATTTGTTGAGCAGTGCTTTTCTTCCAATTATGTGGTCAATTTTAGAGTAGGTGTGATGTGGTGCTGAGAAGAATGTGTATTCTGTGGATTTGGGGTGGAGAGTTCTGTAAATGTCCACCAGGTTTGCTTGCTCCAGGTCTGAGTTCAAGCCCTGGATATCCTTGCTGATTTTCTGTCTGGTTGATCTGTCTAGTATTGACAGTGGAGTGTTAAAGTCTCCCACTATTATTGTGTGGGAGTCTAAGTCCTTTTGTAAGTCATTAAGAACTTGCCTTATGTATCTGGGTGCTCCTGTGTTGGGTCCATATATGTTTAGGATCGTTAGCTCTTCGTGTTGTATCGATCCTTTTACCATTATGTAATGGCCTTCTTTGTCTCTTTTGATCTTTGTTGCTTTAAAGTCTATTTTATCAGAGATGAGAATTGCAACTCCTGCTTTTTTTTGCTTTCCATTAGCTTGGTAAATCTTCCTCCATCCCTTTATTTTGAGCCTTTGTGTATCCTTGCATGTGAGATGGGTTTCCTGGATACAGCACACTGATGGGTTTTGGCTTTTTATCCAATTTGCCAGTCTGTGTCTTTTGATTGGTGCATTTAGTCCATTTACATTTAGGGTTAATATTGTTATGTGTGAATTTGATACTGCCATTTTGATGCTAAGTGGCTGTTTTGCCTGTTAGTTGATGTAGATTCTTCATTATGTTGCAGCTCTTTAGCATTCAGTGTGATTTTGGAATGGCTGGTACTGATTGATCCTTTCTATGTGTAGTGCCTCTTTTAGGAGCTCTTGTAAAGCAGGCCTGGTGGTGACAAAATCTCTGAGTACTTGCTTGTTCGCAAAGGATTTTATTCTTCCTTCACTTCTGAAGCTCAGTTTGGCTGGATATGAAATTCTGGGTTGAAAGTTCTTTTCTTTAAGAATGTTGAATATTGGCCCCCACTCTCTTCTGGCTTGTAGTGTTTCTGCCGAGAGATCTGCTGTGAGTCTGATGGGCTTCCCTTTGTGGGTGACCCGACCTTTCTCTCTGGTTGCCCTTAGTATTCTCTCCTTTATTTCAACCCTGTTGAATCTGACGATTATGTGCCTTGGGGTTGCTCTTCTTGCGGAATATCTTTGTGGTGTTCTCTGTATTTCCTGCAATTGAGTGTTGGCTTGTCTTGCTAGGTGGGGGAAATTTTCCTGGATGATGTCCTGAAGAGTATTTTCCAGCTTGGATTCATTCTCTTCGTCCCCTTCTGGTACACCTATCAAACGTAGGTTAGGTCTTTTCACATAGTCCCACATTTCTTGGAGACTTTGTTCATTCCTTTTTTGCGCTTTTTTTTCTGATCTTGGTTTCTCGTTTTATTTCATTGAGTTGGTCTTCGACTTCAGATATTCTTTCTTCTGCTTGGTCAATTCGGCTATTGAAACTTGTGCATGCTTCGCGAAGTTCTCGTATTGTGTTTTTCAGCTCCTTTAATTCATTCATATTCCTCTCTAAGGTATCCATTCTTGTTATCATTTCCTCGAATCTTTTTTCAAATCTTTTTTCAAGGTTCTTAGTTTCTTTGCATTGATTTAATACATGATCTTTTAGCTCACAAAAGTTTCTCATTATCCATCTTCTGAAGTCTAATTCCGTCATTTCGTCACAGTCATTCTCCGTCCAGCTTTGCTCCCTTGCTGGTGAGGAGTTTTGGTCCTTTCTAGGAGGCGAGGTGTTCTGGTTTTGGGTGTTTTCCTCGTTTTTGCGCTGGTTTCTTCCCATCTTTGTGGATTTGTCCGCTGGTTGTCTGCGTAGTTGCTGACTTTTCGTTTGGGTCTCTGAGTGGACACCCAGAATGTTGATGATGAAGTATTTCTGTTGCTTGGTTTTCTTTCTACCAGTCTAGCCCCTTCGCTGTACAACTGCTGAGGTCCGCTCCAGACCCTGCTTGTCTGGGGTGCACCTCTAGTAGCCGTGGCACAGCGAGGGATGCTACCAGTTTCTTTTTCTGCTCTCTTTGTCCCAGGATGATGCCTGCCTAATGTCAGTCTTTTGGATATAGAGGGGTCAGGGAGCTGCTTGAGGAGACAGTTTGTACTTTATAGGGGTTTAATTGCTGAGCTGTGCACTCTGTTGTTCATTCAGGGCTGTTAGGCTGCTATGTTTTATTCTGCTGCAACAGAGCTCATTAAAAAACCCTTTTTTTTTTTTTTTTTTTCCTCAAATGCTCTGTGTTGAGGGGTTTGGGCTTTATTTTTGGATGTCCGATCAGGTGTCCTGCCCAGCTAGGACGCAGACTAGCCACTGTTTGGCTGTCGAGGCTCCGCCCTGCTGTTGTGTGATTCGCGCTGTTCCTGCCGGCTCTGCTGTGGTCTCCGCCACGCCCTGTGGCGGAGTCTCTTTGTTGTAGCGTGTTGCCTCAGCAACGGCAGGCTGCGTCAGCAGTGGGCGTGTATCTCAGTAGGGACGGGTTGCCTCGGCAACGGCTGGCTGCGTCAGCAATGGGCGTGTATCTCAGTTGGGGCGGGTTGCCTCGGCAACGGTTGGCTGCGTCAGCAGTGGGTGTGTATCTCAGTTGGGGCGGGTTGCCTCGGTAGTGGTGGACACCCCTCCCCCACAGAGCGTCTTGGACCGTCTGCTCGGGATAGTTTGAAATCGCGGTTTTGTTCGTCCCACTGGGTATCCCAATCCCTGCAATCCCCTGGGCTGGCCTACTGTCCAAGTCTCGTTCAGTCTCAAGTCCAGCCCTCTCAAGTCTCAGGTTGCCGGTTCAACAGGGCACCCGGACAAGCGCGCCCTGTGGGGATTGCTGGGTAGGGCCGGCCGCCGCCGCCCCGGCTGCCGGCTTTGCCAGGCAGACCTACTGCCTGGCGTCCCGTGTCTTTTTTATACTTGGGAGTTTTCCCGTTCTGTGGGCAACAAAGATCAGTCTGAAAATGCCGCTCTGACTCACCGTTTGCGGATTCAACGAGAAGAGCTCCAATCCTGGGTTGTTCTCACAGCGCCATCTTGAGTCCTCCCCCACTTCCCAGTCTCTTGTACCTTACAATTCTACTCTCTAACTCCAGGGGCTCAATTTTTTTTTTTTTTAGCTCCCACATGAGTGAGAACATGCAGTATTTATCTTTCTGTACCTGACTTATTTTGCTTAACATAATGTACTCCAGGCTCATCCATGTTGTTGTAAATGACAGGATTTCATTCTTTTTTTTTTTAAGCAGGTAAACAGTATTCCATTGTGTATATATAAACATTTTCTTTGTCTGCTAATGGACATTTAGGTTGATTCCTTATCTTAGCTATTGTGAACAGTGCTTTAATAAACATAGGTATCCCTTTGATATACTGAGTTTCTTTCCATGACAGCATATTTTTTTTTGTTGTTTTTTTTTTTCTTTTTGAGATGGAATCTCACTCTGTCACCCAAGCTGGAGTGCAGTGGCATGATCTTGGCTCATTGCAACCTCCAGTTCCCAGGTTCATGCGATTCTCTCACCTTGGCCTCCTGAAGTGCTGTAATTACAGGTGTGAGCCACTGCACTTGGCATTTGTCTTTTGATGATAGCCATTCTAACTGTGGTGAGATGATGTCTCATTGTGGTTTTGACTTGCATTTCCTTATGATTAGTGTTGAGCTGTTTGAGTTCCTTGGATATTCTGGATTTTAGTCCCTTGTCAGATGAACAGTTTGCAAATATTTTCTCACATTCTATAGGTTGTCTCTTCACTATACTGATTGTTTCCTTTCCTGTGCAGAAACTTTTTAATAGTCCCATTTGTCTTTTTGCCTTAGTTGCCTACGCTGTTCAAGTCTTAGCCATAAAACCTTTGCTTAGACCGATATCCTGAAGCATTTCTAGTATGTTTTCTCAAGTAGTTTTATAGTTTCAGGTCTTATTTTAAGTCTTTAATCAATTTTCATATGTGGTAAATGCACCAACTTTTCAATATTATATCACTTATTAGGTCTTGGAGGTTTGGAAACTCATTTATTTTTTTTGTCTTTCGAGGCGGAGTTTTGCTCTTGTTGCCTAAGCTGGAGTGCAATGGCACAACCTCGGCTCACTGCAACTTCTGCCTCCCAGGTTCAGGAGGTTCTGCCTCAGCCTCCCGAGTAGCTGGGATTACAGTCACCTGCCACTGCCCCTGGCTAATTTTTTGTATTTTTAGTAGAGACAGGGTTTCACTATATTAGTCAAGCTGGTCTCAAACTCCTGACCTCAGGTGATCCGCCCACCTCGCCTCCCAAAGTGCTGAGATTACAGGCATGAGCCATTGCGCCTTGCCAGAAATTTACTTATTCTTAGCTTTAGTTTTCTCATTTGTGAAATGGGGATAATAATGTGTACCTACTACATGAGGTGAATGAAAATATGTAAACCACTTAGAGTAGTCAGTGTTCAATAAGATGTTAGTCACACTCAGATATAAAACTGTTTGTTTATCATAGGAAGACTTGAATTTAGCCTCAGAAACAATGCGTTAGGAAAGCTGTGCCTCTTTACCCTTTCTAATTAAACTATTTGACAATTTTGTGTTCATATAAATATAAAAGCCACTCAGTTTAGTTCTTCTAAAACCAACTTAAGTAGTATTTACTATATGCCAGGTACTACCAGAAGCACTTTTCATATGTTAAGTCACTCAGAAATTACTGTAGTTATGATCTGCATTCCTACAGATGATAAAACTGAAGCCCAGGAAGTTAATCAACTTGCTCAAGGTCACAAAGCCAGTAAGTAAAGGAAAGTAGAAACTGAATCCCAACACTGAAGCTCCAGAGTCTGTAAATTTAGCATCTACTATAATACTTTTCAATATAGCATATCATTCTCTTTCAGGATGTAATCAAACAACATATACCTTCATCCATGGCCAATGGCCATAACTTCTGAATTTTAAATAAGAGCCAAAATTGGTGACCTTTAGGAAAGGAAGTGACACTTCAAACTCCCTCCCTGCCCCCTTAAAAAAACAACAGAACAAATAGCCTATGTAATACACATATAAACATCTTGTTTTCTAATGAAAAGCCAAATGTCACCAACTGCTTTGAAACAATATATGACTGTCCTGATGGAAGGAGAGTAAGACTGACTGTTTCTTGCAAAATTTTGCATACAGTAACAGAGGTGGAACCATAAACAGTCTCTTAGAACATACCAGGAAACTGAGGTTGGGTAAGGTGGGGTGTCTGGCAACAAAGGTGCTACGTTGAGCCCTTTAAAAAAAAAAGGCAACACCATAGCCGCTATTTAGCTGAAAATGATGGGATCAGAGATTGACCAAAAAATAAATGGCTAGCCAGCTTCTTCTGTGAGTCAGATGTTGCTTATTCCTATTTCAGAATCTTATATTTCCTTTGAACAAAATATGTAAATATGAAATCTCTCTACATTCCTCATTTTCAGTGGCACTGCTGACTTCACTCTCAGTTTTCCATTCATTATATTGTTCCTCATCTCTTCTCTTCCCTTTGCAACCTCCTCTGCCAGACTGCTTACCTGTCTGGTAAGTTCTGTGCCCATTATTAATGGGGCACTTATTTCTAAAAGAGTCTCCAAAGAAAGCCTGCAGCTGCTAAACTGTGAAAATTAGTCCCACTGTTAAAGTGTGTCTGTTCTCTTTCTTTGAAAAATTGTTCCAGTTTCACACACTTCTGGGAGGACGAAAACAAAAGTCCTGCCTCTTTGAATGCAGTTATCAACCGATGTAGAGTGACAGCATAATTTGTGCTTTTTGTTCAGGGTTGGTTCAATGTCCTATAGATATTTACAGTGAGAGCAAATGACTGATTATTCTTGAAGGATCTTTCCTGCTACCTGTCAGTTCACGCAGAATACATAGTATTTGAGTCTTCTCTTTTACTTAAAGCCTCTGTTAAAATGCAAATATGTTACTTGTGGGGAGGGAGGTACATGTTATTATATCACTTACTCATATTTTAGCATAAATTATTTGAACAGATAATTGAACAGACTTCAAAGTCTTAAGGGATTAGGAGGACAGGGCTGATGATATGTTCTGGCAGTGGGAAAAAATAAGGGAAAATTGAATAGTAGAGCAAACTGGTTGAGCAGAGCAGGCTTGGGTAAGGCCTGAAGTAGGCTTTGAAGGAAAAGTCCATTTGGGCACTGGGTGAATTTTGAAGAATAAGGACTGGGTGGGAGCAGCAATGCAGATATAACTTACAGAAAATTTGTATTTTGCTAAGCCCTAAAGTATTTATTCTATATCTGGTTATTTCTTCTCAATAGCAGAGGGAGATCCCACTGGAGGCTTGGATGCCTCAACCACTGAGTCCGTTTACTATACTGGAGTAAGGTTCCTCTCTACGGAGAAACAGAGGCCTGCGGTGATTCCCTTTAATGAGGTTGCTGCCTGATGGCTGGGACACAAAACAACCAAGTTGTTGCCTGACAAGATGACTGAATGGGAACCACTTATGAAAAATACTGTAAGTCATCTGGCTTTCCTTATAATGGCCATGCTCAGCACAGAGAAGTATTTGCTTTGTGTCTCATTTCCTTGGGTGACTTCCCTATAAGAGAATTCTGGTTGGACATGTACAAGTGCAAATTCCACATATTCTTTTCTTTAAGCTTAGAAATCATATTCCTAGATAGTTAAAGAAAGGGAACTCATACTAAATATGAATGTTGAAGATAACTTGGAACCAAATACATAGTGATAAAGCTTGTCTTAAATTTACCCCCTAAAACCCAAGGGGACCTTTCTTTGCATTTAATTACTGTGATTAATCTGGATGGTTTATAGTTTATGAAATGGCTGCAAAATTTGTATAATCAGATATAAATCTCTCTCAATGTTTTCTGCTCCCTATCACCTGTGGACCACATTGTGAAGTGAGATACCAAATCTCCAGAGACTACCTCTGGGCACAAATTTTAAATCGGTAATGATCTATTGTGAAACCTCTTAATAAAGATTCTGGACTAGAGCAACTTGGTGGGGGTACAGATTAAAAACATTTAAGTAAATGTTTTAATCTTTTCAGTTCACGAAAACATCAAATATCACTGGGTAATTTAATAACAAAATTGAGCTTTGTCTTAAGCAAACAAATTAAAGGCCATTAGCTGTCCAAGGCTACAATAAAATGCACTGCAGGGACTTGGCTCAGAAGTTAGCCTCAGTATTGATGGTGAGAGCCTCTACTCCTAAAAACCTTCTGAAATATCCACCCACTCCCATTCTGAGACTATGAAGTACAAACAGAAGCTACTTGCCTGAATGGCAAATAACATAACATAAAATGTTATACTTGGATGCAATAAGTTACTCTGAGCAACAGACAGAAAAAAGTGACAAAACCCCTCCTTATTGAATAGCCATCATGATAATAGTTATCATTTATTGAGTGCCTTATATGTACCAGATACTATTTGAAATGTCTTTTATATAACCTATGCTCTTTCAGTACTCAACTTCATGCATACTAAGCTGTACACTAAACACTTCCACAGATTTTTTTGCATAAGCAATGATGCAAACATTTGCATTGTTGGAAGTTCTGGACTAGGGATTATAAGAGTTCTCACCTGGTGTTTTCTTTAATAAGCTGTATAAGCTTATATATTACACATTTTCCTGGACCTTGGAAATGAGAGCACCAGTTCTTGATTTCTTGAGCATGAGGGCTACTGAGTAATGTCAAACAATTTTATGATTCCTTTGCACTGCACATCAATCCTGATGTCACGTTTTATAATGGCTGACAGCAAAAATACAACATGATGAAAAGCTACTAAGAATGACAATGTTTTGAAGTGAATTTATACTAATCACAACAGTAAAAGGATATTGCATATAGATAGATATATGCAAGACATTTTTCTGCATCAGATGATGCTTGATGCACACTTGGAACACTTGCAATAATTTGGAGGAACTAGGGGTCCATGGTGCACCAGCTGGTGGCCAGTATACAACCCTTTCAATTCTAACATTTATACTCCAGGTTAAAGGTATTGTCTTCCTGAAACTAGCCAGATGAATCTAGCCTCACAGAGGTGGTGGATGGTCCTGGCAAAGAGCTTTCCATGTTGTCAGTACAACAGTGGGTGTCAGCTAACAAATGCAAGTCACATTCAAAGGGTTAAGTTAGAAGAGTTCCACTACCCAGGAGCTCAGCTATCACAATGCAGGTATCCCCTCACTTGCCTTTGCTAAATAACTGTGGGTTACAACCAAGAAATCATACTTCCCAACCCTATAAAAATATTGGTAATCATTGGAAGACACCTGTTATGTATCAGGCACAATGCTAGGAACTTAACCTATTATCCCTAATCCTAACAATCACACTCAGAGACATAGATGTCTTTATATATGGATACAGAAACAGGCTCAAAAATTAAATAGCCTGCCCAAGATCACATAGCTCGTAAGTGGCTGAGTATGGGATCTGTCTTGCTCCAAAGCCCTGGTTCTTTATTTTCCACAGTGTTGAGTGTTCTTTTGGTTTCTTTGAAATAGTATTCATTTTATCTTGATACAGTTATACTCTTTAATCCCTGAGTAGGTTTCTGCCATTTTGTTCCTGAGAACTGTTTTCTTTTCCATTTAAGTTTAGTGAAATAAAGCCCCTGACTTGGTGCTTAGGCTATGGAATATATTGGAAGGACTAAAACAGGCATTATTTTTTCTACTCTATTTTCTATAAGAGCATATAACAATTCCTCCGTAATTTGTTATGGTTTATAATTTCATGAAGTGATATAGTCACACTAAGACCTAAATTATGATATAAAAGGCACATAAAGGTAGAGAGCAACTGTGTAATCTGTGATGCACAAGGTGCTATAAGGAGCCTCAGGATCATTTAAATTTTTATAGTCTGCAAAATGTTCAGCTACTAATGAACAAATACACTCAATTACAGTAGAATGCACCTAGATTTAGATGCTGAATGATCTGCAGTGATTAACTCTTTGTAGTATTTTCTTCAATAATGGGCTGTGTCCCCGAAATTCTCCCAACCAGACAGAGCTACATGGTCAGCTTGCACATTTACCACTGGTTTGGGAATGTTTAACTGACTCCTAGGCCACACTCCTGAGTGGCAGATGGCAAATTCCTCATCTGACATATCATCACAAAAAGCATTTTTAGAATAGTTTTGGTCCCTGTATACAAAGGGGAAACATATTTATTGTAGCACCAGTATTCCGTTAATGGAAAACAGTTTTCAATATTTATAGAAATTCAAAAGATGCAATGATTTTCTTTTATGTATCTCAACAGTTCTTTCCTTGCTTCCCATTTACATTCTTTTAAAATGAAATTTTCATTATTCCCATTTCAATTTCTAATGTTGCTTTCTATGTTTATGAAGTAATATTCCAGGTAACTTTATAATAAATTTCTCTTCAGTCCTATGATTGCTTGCAATATACAAAACTGAAATAGGAGAGTCAAAGTTATGAATACAGGTCTATTTTACAATAACTCATTTTTATCTTGAAACAAAGATCTCAAATTCAATTTCTTTTCTGTCTCCATATATATTCTTTCCATCGTTAGGAAAGGTTTATCTTTGTTCAATTTTAATCTGGATTATGTTTGATAAGACTTTATTTTTATGGTATTAAGAGTTGATTTCATATGCATACCTACTTTTCTTATAGCTCCACAAGATAAAGGTTTTAAAAAATATTTACCTAAAATAGTCACTAAATGTCTTTTTATGATTAGTTGTTACTCATATTGTGATTCATTGATGTAATCCACAAAAAATCTGGATTGTGCATTCATGAAGGATCACTTGTCTGAGCAAATATTAACTTTGCATATACATGTGTCCTTTTGGTCTCTTAATGAAATTTGCTTTTACTAACTTGCAGACCACAGTTACATAAAAGTGTCTGAAAGACTCCAGGTAGACAAAATAATTTATATAAATGTAAAACTTATCATGACTGAAAGGTTTAGTAGAATTTTGGCAAATTTATAGCAATTTCCAAATCACAAGAAGAAGGTGACAGCTGCTTAACAGCATTCAGCAACAGTGTACAGTAGTAGTAGAGGCAAGTGGGTATCCTGGTATCTTGGTGAAATTCAGTGTGAAAGAATTACCTGTGTAAGAACTAGGAAACAGGATTTTAAAATTCTATGAAATATCAAATGGTCATTTTAGTGTTATTAAGTAGTAGGCGTTTTAGATTATTCAAAATATTTTTATACATGCCATTTATGATAAATAATATCTCGAAGAATACAAATGAAGAGGTATGGGGAAGGGGCCTCCATGCCCTCTCTGGATATGCCATCCTCTAGAACCTCCCTCATCGTTAGCCATCAGGAAGTTCTGGAAACCCTGTCTTTTTGTGTTTTTTTTTTTTCATGGATGCTTCAACACACAGGCATAATGGATTAAACCACTGGTAACCAATTTGTCTTCAGCCCACCTCTCCTCCTCAGAATTTGGGGGATGGAGACAAAAGTCCAACCCTCCACTCATGCCTTGATCTTTCTAGTGACCAGCCCCCATTCTGAAGCTACTTAGGGGTTGCCAGCTATCAGTCAGTCAACTCATTAGCATGTAAAAAGACATCATTTCTGCCAGGAAAAAGGGACAAAGACCAAATATATGTATCACAATATCAGAGTCCACTCCCAGTCTTCTAAAGGAATCTGTTATATCCAAAGGATATATAACCTAAAAGATACTAGGGCATTACTAGAACTCATTTAGTCATTAATGCTATAATTTGTCCAGTCCATCATATTGTATGAATACGTCTCCCAGAGTGCGGTCACTCAGGTTTTCAGGCTTCTAAAGCAGGAGTGATCTCAGCAAAGATACAGGTTCACTCTTTCAGGAATTTGGTATAATTAAGCTAAGAGATAATGTCATCATCTCTTGCTCTGAGCCTCTTTTAAGGTAATATAATACTGGTTTTCTCTCATATAACCCCTTTGTTCATTTCTTTACCCTCAGCTACTATTTTTCTTTCTGTTCATTCATACCAAAACTTTTCCACCTTTGGAAGGGACATTAGGTTTGGCTACCCTGCTTGTCTGGACGATAGCAAACAATCCTAGTCTAGCAAGTATCTCCCCCTCAGACCACTCCCATTCAGATAGACAGGGTAAGGTTACACTGGAGCAGAACTAGCAAGATATTTTTATATCAGGCAGTATAGTTGCACTCATTGTTAACTCCAATTTTGCTAGACAGGATGCCCTCTGGAATTCTGACGTAAGGTTTAGGAAGTGTAGTTACAGTCAGATCCAAGATGGCTGAATAGGAACAGCTCTGGAATGCAGTTCCCAGGAAGAACGCAGAGGATGAGTGATCACTGCATTTCCAAAGGAATTTTTACTGCCCACAGACCAGGAGATTCCCGGGCAGAAAAGTGCCACGAGTCTCCAGCATGGCTGTTTGAGCTGGTGCAGTGGGTCTCTGCACAAAAACTCACACAAATCTGGGCGCTGTTTCAACTGGTGCCTGAAATGCCTGGGAGAAAGAGTCGCCCATTCAACTGAAAAAGAGGAGCCTGAAACAGGGAGCCAGGTGATCTTGCTCAGTGGGTCCCACCCCCCACAAAGACCAGCAATCTGAAATGCTCTGGACTGAGTTTCACAGCAAGCACAGCTGGACCTGGGATGGTCCAGTACTTGGTGGGGAAGGGCATCTGCCACTACCGAGGCAGTCCACTACTACCGAGACAGTCCACCATTACTGAGGCAGACCGCCATTACTAAGGCAGTCCTAACTATACCTCTATAAACAAAACTCCAAGGAATTTCACACAGCAGGTGGGCAGAGCCCATGGCAGCCCAGCAATGCCTCTGCTGGCAGACTGTGACTAGGCTACCCCCTCACTGGGCATGGCATCTCTGAAAAAAGGCAGCAGTATGTCAGGAACTTCTTATAAATAAAGCCCCACCTTCCCAGGACAGAGCACCTGGGAGAAAAAGGCGGTTATGAGCTCTGCTGAAGCAGACTTAAATGTACCTGCCCAGCAGTTCTGAATGGAACAACAGAGTTCACAGCTCAGCACTTGAGCTCCTATAAGGGACAGACTGCCTCCTCAAGCAGCTCCCTGACCCCCATATATCCAAAGAGACACCTCATAAAGAACAGCTCAGACTTACATCTGGCGGGTATCCTTCAGGGGCAAAGATAACAGAAGACAAAACTGGCAGCAACCCTTACTGCTCTGCAGCTGTTGCAGGTGATCCCTAGGCAAGCAGGGTCTGGAGTGGACCTGCAGCAGTCCTCCAGCAGAGGGGCCTGACTGTTAGAAGGAAAACTAAAAAACAAAGAAATAACTTCATCATCCACAAAAAGCATGTCCACTCAGAGACCCCATCTGAAAGTCACCAGCTACAAAGAACACAGGTAAATAAATCCACAAAGATAGGAAGAAACCAGCACAAAAGGATGAAAACACCCAAAACCAGAACGCCGGTCCTCATCCAAGGGGTCACAATTCCTCACCAGCAAGGGAACAAGGCTGGACAGAGAATGAGTCTGATGAATTGACAGAAACAGGCTTCAGAAAGTGGGTAATAACAAACTTCTCTGAGCTAAAAGAACATGTTCTAACCTATACAAGCACCAATGCAAAGAAACTAAGAACCTTGAGAAAAGGTTTGATGAAATGCTAAGTAGAATAAACAGCTTAGAAAAGAATATAAATGAATTGATGGAGCTGAAAAACACAACATGAGAACTTCTTGAAACATACACAAATTTCAGTAGACAAATCGACCAAGCAGAAGAAGGGATATCAGATACTGAAGATCAACTCAATGAAATAAAACGAGAAGGCAAGATTGAAGAAAAAAGAATGAAAATGAACAAAGCCTCCAAGAAATACAGGATTACGTGAAAAGACCTAATCTATGTTTGATAGGTGTACTTGAATGTCATGGAGAGAATGAATCCAACTGGAAAACACTCCTCAGGATACTATCCAGGAAAACTTCCCCAACCTAGCAAGGGAGGCCAATATTCAAGTCCAGGAAATACAGAGAACACTACAAATATATTCCTCAAGAAAAGCAACCCCAAGGCACATAATCGTCAGATTCATCAGGGTTGAAATGAAGGAGAAAATGCTAAGGGCAGCCAGAGAGAAAGGTTGGGTTACCCACAAAGGGAAGCCCATCAGACTCACAGCAGATCTCTCAGCAGAAACTCTACAAGCCAGAAGAGAGTGGGGGCCAATGTTCAACATCCTTAAAGAAAAGAACTTTCGACTCAAGATGGCGCTGTGAGAACAACCCAGGATTGGAGCTCTCATTGAATCCGCAAAGAGAGACCCAATCGAAAAGTCAGCAACTACGCAGATGACAAACGGATAAACCCACAAAGATGGGAAGAAACCAGCGAAAAAAGGAGGAAAACACCCGAAACCAGAACACCTCGCCTCCTAGAAAGGACCAAAACTCCTCACCAGCAAGGGAACAAAGCTGGACGGAGAATGACTGTGACGAAATGACGGAATTAGACTTCAGAAGGTGGATAATGAGAAACTTTTGTGAGCTAAAAGAACATGTATTAAATCAATGCAAAGAAACTAAGGAACTTAAAAAAAGACATGAGGAAATGATAACAAGAATGGATAACTTAGAGAGGAATATGAATGAATTAAAGGAGCTGAAAAACACAATATGAGAACTTCGCGAAGCATGCACAAGTTTCAACAGCCGAATTGACCAAGCAGAAGAAAGAATATCAGAAGTCGAAGATCAACTCAATGAAATAAAACGAGAAACCAAGATCAGAGAAAAAAGCGCAAAAAGGAATGAACAAAGTCTCCAAGAAATGTGGAACTATGTGAAGAGACCTAACCTACATTTGATAGGTGTACCAGAATGTGATGAAGAGAATGAATCCAAGCTGGAAAATACTCTTCAGGACATTATCCAGGAAAATTTCCCCCACCTAGCAAGACAGGCCAACACTCAAATGCAGGAAATACAGAGAACACCACAAAGATATTCTGCAAGAAGAGCAACCCCAAGGCACATAATCGTCAGATTCAACAAGGTTGAAATAAAGGAGAAAATACTAAGGGCAGCCAGAGAGAAAGGTCGAGTTATCCACAAAGGGAAGCCCATCAGACTCACAGCAGATCTCTCAGCAGAAACACTACAAGCCAGAAAAGAGTGGGGGCCAATATTCAACATTCTTAAAGAAAAGAACTTTCAACCCAGAATTTCATATCCAGCCAAACTGAGCTTCAGAAGTGAAGGAACAATAAAATCCTTTGTGAACAA